CCCAGCCATTCCTAATTTTTTATTTTGAGACAGTCTTGATAACTAGCTGAGGCTGGCCTGGCGAGCGCGCTACCGCTTGAGCCACATCCCCAGCCCCTAAAATGGTGTTTCAGTACATGCACAGAACATGTAATATTTAAATCAGGTTAAAAATCCTTCATCTCAAACATTATGGTGAAAACATGAAATTCTTTTTTTTCCCCTCCTGGGTCCTGGGGATTGAACACAGACACTTTACAACTGAGCTTATCCCCCAGCCCTTTTTTATTTTAAGACAGGGTCTTGCTAAATTGCCAGGCTGACCTGGAACTTGTGATCTTACCGCCTCAGCCTCTGGAGTATCTGAGATGATAGGTGTGAGTCATTGAGCCCAGCTATTTGTTACTGATTTTTATGAAGTAGAAGTATTATTTGCAAGACGCTACAAAATTTTGAAAGTTTAGGGACTGGGAATGTTACTCAATAGTAAAGCGCTTTTTAGCATGTGGGAGACCCTGTGTTTAATCACCAACATCCCTACCCCAAAAAAGATTTAAAAAATCAAAGGTACTATGTCCAAGTTCTTTTTTAGGGGAGGTGGTGCTGGGAATTGAACCCAGAGTTTTCACTTTTGCTAGGCAAGCATTCTACCACTGAGCTACATCTGGACAACTTAACAAGATGCTGTTCCACATAAAAAGGGCTGTAGATCAATGGTAGAGCCCCACTGGGTTCAATCACCTGTACTGCAAAGAAAAAAGAAATCCAAACTTTGGAACCAGATTGCTTTGGTTTAACATCTGGTTTGAACACTAGTTGCATAACTAATCAAATTATATGTCAGAACTAGGCCTTAGGTTGATTTTTTAAATGTTTTTATTAGTGCATTATAGTTATACATAATAGTAGGGTTTATTTTGACATAATTATACATACATTGAATATCGTTTGCTCTATTTCAGTCCTCACTAATTCCTTCTCCTCCTACTGCTCTTAGTCCCCTTCTCCTACTCTACTGGTCTTCCTTCCATTTATTCATTTTTAATTGGTTCTTTATAGATATACATAAAGGTGGGAATCAGTATGATATATTTGTATATATACGTATCATGATTTGATCAATTTCATTTCTCAGTTCTTCCCTTTTGGTTTTTATTTTGTTTGGCTTTACAGTATTGGGGATTGAACCCAGGATCTTGTATACATAAAGCACATGATCTACCATTGACATAAATCTCCAGCCCCCATTGTATAATTTTTTTCTATTAATACTGGGGATTGAACTATCACTGAACTATATCCCCAGCCCTTTTTAAATTTTTTTATTTTGAGACAGAGTCTCACTAAGTTGCTGAGGCTGGCCTTGGATTTGTGATTTTCCTGCCTCATCTTCCCAAGAATCTGGAATTATAGGTGTGAGTCATTATATCAGACTATAATATTTCTTATTGATCATTTTATCCCTCTAGGTTAGCTTTTTGTAGCAAATCCCATTGAATTCCTGCCTACATTCATTTTCCACTTTCTCATCTTGGTTTCAACCTGTGTTATTGACAGGATTGATGTATCTTTCCTTTATGGATTTGGCTCACTAAAAAGTACCAGAGAAATATATTTTAACATCTTTTTCTACACTTACCATAAATCCAGCCATGAGCTTCAGGGAAAAGTGACTCAATCCTGGCTCTAGAAGGTAGATCTCATGGACTGAGCTAACCATAATAATCTCATTTCTCTGAGCCAGGCATAGTGGTGTATGCCTGTAATCACAGCTAATTGAGAGCCTGGGCAATTT